AACCATTATCTTCATCACCATTGAATTGTTACCACAAGCACCACCACAGTCGCTACTGTTAGCATTTGTGCCCTCAAAAACCAATTTATTGACTTTATTAATTGATTATATAAAATTGCTTGGCATTTTATTTTGCATTTTGTATATTATTATGGGTAATGTTATACTTAATGTTACAGATGATGTGAACATAAGGTCCCTTGTGTAACATTGTAAAAAAACATGCTAATGGTTAATTAACCAAAAGCTAGGAGTTATGATTTTTCGATGTCTTGTAGACCCAATTAATGTTCCAGGCTATGGGTGTTGATTGGGCATCGCACTACTACGGCCTACACCTGTTTTGCTGCTATATGATAGAATGATTAACTCCATCATTGAGGTAGTGACCTTAAGCAAATTGGTGGGTGTTATACAATAAGTACATGCACTGAACATGATCGGTTTTGAAAACACCTATGGAATGATCACTGTCAGTTTAAAAGGTAGTTCCATTGTAATACACTTATTTTTCTTTAACCTGGAGGCTTGTATAAATTAATTAATTATTCATTTAACTTTGATATTGTCAATCGGTGACGCCGAACCAAAGGCTATATACGGACATGTTGGGCTATGTGAGTGGTAATTGATTTATATAGGTGCTTAACATGGAATCCACCATTCTCAAAGTGAGAAAGTATATTCAAGCAATTTTTCCTATTAACGTTGGACCAAAAGAAAACCGACCGGTTACTTTTTCATAAAAATATTTCTATACATATATAATTACAAAAGTACTATTTTTGAAAAATGTTTTTGGGGTCCAATTAGAAAAAGGAAAAATTTAGAATTCGGTTACATGAGTGAGGATTTTTTGATAGTGATAAATTTGTCCATACCTAATAGATTATGTGGAATATAGTTTGGTGGTAGGAAATTTGTGACTAATTGTAAGAAAGGGCCTCACTTGTAATTCTCTACTCTTAGGGATTTAATTGTAATGTGTTGATGGACATTATTGCAATTAGTGAAAATTTAATATTATCTATTTAAAAGATAATTAATAAAAAATTGGATAAGTTGTATCCTGCATATTTAAGATGAAAGATACATCTTCTATTTTATCCCCATTATTAAAAGATAGATATCCCTAAGGATCCCACCTACATGCAAACTCTATCATGTGTTGTGTATATTTATCAGATGTATTTAATAAAAAAATTGGCCATCAGAATTTTTAAGGTCTGTAGAAAAATATACACAAAAATAAATTTAAGAGGGTGCAAGGTGAATCACTTTGGAGGTGAGACACTTGGATCGCTTTGTGAGGCATTATCAAATGCTTGGATTGAGATATTTTAGATTGTGTAATCAAGTGGTATTTCTTTGAAAATTTGTTTTTCAAAATAAATTATTTTTCCGCAAACTTTCATTGGTATCAGAGCCACGCCATTTTGATTGCATGAATCTATATTTTTGTTTTTCATAGTTTGATAAAAATATTGAATATTCAATTTGTCTCGCATAATAGTTGATTATATAACTTGCGAATATATTATTTATATTTTCTTGTATTAATCACAAAAGAAAAGGGACCGAAATGGTGAAAAAAAAAAAAAAACTAGGTTACTGTTTAATCGGTGATAAGGTTCACAACAAGAAAAAGCAGATTTTGCGACTAAAAATGGATTTTTCGTCGCTGAAAGTAGCAGAATTGGCGACTAAAATGGAATTGGCGACTAAAACAGTTTAGTAGCCAAATGTAGGGGTTTTAGCGACTAAAAGTCAGTTTAGTCGCCGAATATAGGGGTTTTAGAGACTAAAAAAATTTTAGTAGCCAAAAGAGAAGGTTTTTGGCAACTAAAAACATTTAGTAGCCAAAAGTATAGGTTTTGGCGACTAAAAAATAGTTTGGTCGCCGATTATGTGTGTTTTACCGACAAAAATTAATTTCGTAGCCAAAAGTGAAGCTTTTTGGCTACTAAAAAAAATTTAGTAGCTAAAAGTCAAGAATTGTCGACTACAATGCAGTTTAGTCGCCCAAAGTAGAGGTTTTGGCGACTAAATTTCAGTTTAGTCGCCAAAAGTTGAGGTTTTTAGGCGGGAATGAATTTTTTTAGCGACTAAAATATAATTAGTAGCCAAAACTATACAATTGGCGACTAAAAAATAGATTTAGTCGCCAAAAGTGATCTAATTTTTTTTTAGTAAATAATTTATTTTTTACATAAATTATATTGAATAAAAATAATTATTTTTATATATATAGCTAGATATTAATACGGGTCAATATAGTATATAAATAATATATGTTGCATATATATTTATGTGGTGTTGTAGCGGCATAGCGCAGAGAGTGTGTTGCTAAAGGTTTAGAATGTGGGACAGGTTGGCAGTTCGAATCTCAAAAAAAGCAAAAAAGTTAGTTTTTTTTTTTCCACGGAAGCACCTTTGGCGACTAAAATTTTAGTCGCCAAAAGTGTTTATTTTGGGCAACTAAACGGTTTAGTCGGCGATTCATGGACTATTGGCGACAAAAAGATTAGTCGCTAAATGTGTGATTTTAAAAAGTGTAAATCACTATTGGCGACTAAATACTTGGTCGCTAAAGAGCTATTTTTTGCCGACTAAAAAAATTTTAGTCACCAATACCTCCGGCGACCATATATACGCAACAAAAAGGGCGACTAAAAAAATTAGTCGCTGAAAGTAAAAACTCGACTTTCGGCGACTAAAAACAGACTTTTGGCGACTAAAAATTTAGTCGCCAAATGTGCTTCTTCATGTAGTGGATATTAATCCAAATAGCTAGTAGAAGTCTTTGATAAGTGATATCCTTATAAAGGATAGAGTTCTACGAAGTGATACTTTAGGGTACGAGGGCACTGTTGACTATAAAAGTAAGACATTTCTGTGGGTCTAATGTATTTTACTTGTGCACTGTTACTTGAGTTGATATTTTTGTGAGATAAGTTAATTGACTTAATCGTCAGAATGCTTTTGGTGGTATTTCTTATTCTCTTGTGCTCAGTTATTGGCTTAATTTATTTTGTTGCGTGCTCTCCAACTAAGTTCCTTAGATTTCTGCAGAGAGGTCTGTTTCGTTGTGAGATCATAAATCAACACCCACAGCTAGCATATGGTCACAAAAATTTTGCGATTAGTTTTTTGACCGCCATTACACCTTAAATGTATTTTTTTTTAAGCCCAATTGTTTGCATTAGCATCTTCAATGTCAGAAACATGAGTAATTTTTTATATGCAAATAGGATATATGTCATGTGATACCTTCTATTATTGTGATTAGTTTTGACAGTAATGTCCACTATATTTATGTTAGGTGTTTGAAAAATAATAAGAAGCATATACATTTGTAATTGGTGAAAGATAATGTTATATGATATCTTATTAATATACAAAAATTTCTAAGAAATTTAATGTGTTTGGTTTGAGTTTTTTGAATTAAGTTTTTTGAAAATTGTGTTTTTTGGTTTTTGTATTTTTTTGTTTTTAGTGAATATTTTTAAAATTTTAAACATTTTTTTTTTACTTTTTTAGATGCACTTTTCTTAGATGTATCTAAAAAGTAAAATATTTGTGAAAAAATATTTTAAAAAATTAATAAATACACAAAAATATAAAAAAAAATATA